AACCCAGAGATGGGACCACCCACAATGGGCTAGGCCCTCCTCCATCTATCACTAAGTAAGAAAATTCCTTACAGCTGAATCTTACAGAGGTAGCTTCTCCATTGAGGTTCTCTCCTTTCAGATAACTCTAGTTTGTGTGTCAAGTTGACATTAAGACTAGTCAGCACAATAAAATTGGTAAGTCATGAGCTTATACTAAAATGGAAGATGTTCTAGCATTTTGGCCATGGATGGCTTGGTCATATCTACGGAGATACTTTTGTTTTGAGAAAATAAGAGGTTATTTTACTCTTTGTATTCAAACCCAAACTCAACGTGATACTTATTTTATAATTATATATGTCCATAGAGTTGGAATTCCTAAAGTTTAAAATATGGCAGTAATTATCACTCAGCCACCTGTTGAAAGATTCTGAAGTATAACAGGTGCTAAATTTAATGAACATAGAACTTAAGTGGAAAACTAACCTTTTCTAAAATAGGAAGGTGTTATAATTGTGTTTATTTGCTTTAGGAAATAATGCTTCTCATAAGTAGTGAAGATTGGAGCATCATTATACTATTTCACTCTTTGGCTAAAATGATTTTCTTTCAAAATAAAATCATGTGTAATCAAACTTTTCTCTGATTTGGATTGCCAAAACAGTATATTATGTTTTGTGTTTTATTTTAAATTTCTTTTAACATTGTTTTTCATACAATGTATTTTGATGTTTAATCTTTTCCTTCATCTCCTCCAAGATCCTCTCCATTTCCTAACTGACTCAACTTCATGTTGTTTCTCTCTCAAAAATAGACAAACAAAAATTAAAACCAAAAAGTGACTGAAGACAAAAAATTCCAAAACAAATCAAGCAAACAAAATGAAACAAAAATCTCACAAGAAAACCATGGAATTTGTTTTGTGTTGGCCAATTACTCTAGGGCACAGAGCCTGCCCTGGAGTGTGGTTGATATGCCCAGTGACACTCTATTAGGGCAAACTGGTTTTCTCTTTCTCACTGGGTATCAATTGCAAATAGGTTCTTGATTAGCAGCAAGACCCAGTGTCTTTTTCTCACTGTCAGTTCTAGGAATCCATTTAGCTTGAACCTGTGTAATCCTAGGCATGCTGTCAGATTCTTTGTGAGTTCACATGTGCATAAATCCTGTTGTTTCTACAAGACGCTGGCTGTTTCCTTGCAGTCATCCACTGGTTCTTACATTCTTTCTGCTTCCTTTTCTACAACATCCCTAAGCCTGAAGGGAAGGGGTTTGATGAAGGCATCCCATTTATGACTGAGTGCTCCCAAGTCTCTCAGTCTCTGCACACTGTTCAGTAGTGGATCTCTGTGCTTCTTCCTAGAAGAAATTTCTTTGATAAGCATTGCGTGAAGCACTGATATTTGTGTATATCAGTGTGTCATTAGGAGTCATTTTACTGCTATATCCCTTTAGTAGAATTAATAGCAGTAGGTTTTTCACTAGGCCTGTGACCTATCTAGTTTTAAATTCTAAGCCACTTCAGCAGTGTCATGTATGGGTTCCTGTCAAAAAATGGCTGGTGACTCTCATAACATTTGTTCTACTATTGTACTATTATATCTTAAGGCAGGTCACTGTTGTAGGTCACATGTTTTGCCAGGTAATATTGATGATGACTTTGCTCCTCTGGTAGTATGCTGAATTTACTCCTAGCACCATGAATGATAGTCAATAGCAGGGAATCTTCTAGTTAGGCACCAAGGCTAATTCTTCCTGTTCAATGATGTAATTAAGTGTTGTCTTCAGTAATAGGTCCTTATCATCAGCATCAGGTTGTTGAAAGAACCAATATCCTTGAAAATAGCCTGTGATATTTGGAGGACCCATGGGACCTCTTTGGCCAATGACCCAACAGATGTAACCTATTCCTGCCACTGGAGGTTTTACTTGGTGGTATAAGTTGTCTAGTTGGAGCATTGTCTCCATTATATGGTAACATTTTGTGTTTTAATTTTTATGAGCCATCCACCAAGGTGGTAATTACTTTTGACAGAGTCATAAGGTTTCTTAGTTTACATTTGTGAAGAAGGATGCTTTCTAGGAAGGAGTATCATCATTCCTTTGTAACATGGTCACTTTAGATGTCATATATCATATAAATTAAAATGACTTCTGTGATGCTGAAAATGGAGATAGGAAGTTAAATGAGCGTTCGTTGGAAGCATATTGGAAAATTTCTTCTCTCGCTCTCTTTTTACAAAAACAGTATAGAAGATGACTATACAAACAATTACAATTCCAAGAAATTATGTCAATTTGTTTTTCTCAGTATAATTTCCAGAAACCAGTTCATATCCCTGAGAAATATTGTATCATAAATAGAAATAACTAGAGAATAATAAACAGCAAAGTTTGTGTTTGCTACAAAATTGACAGTGGCATTTTCACAACAAACTCATAAATGATTTATTTTATTATAAATAAATAAACAATAAATCATCCCCCTGAGAAGGGGTAAAGAAAGTTTGCATTCCTGCTTTTGACAAGAGCCAACCCAAACTCTTCCCAGGCAATTTCTTACTAACATAAGGGAAATGGCAAAAACCACAGTGGAATAAATACCATTAGAGTTTCTGTTATAAACTCTACTTCATGGAGAAACTTGAACAAAGCATGTTAGTTAGCCCCACAGTATAGCCTCCCTGACTTATCTTGTTTCTCTGATAATCTCTTGGTTCATGGATCTATTAATTATCTTGGCATATCAAATAAGGGCTGATTAAAATAGATGTGGTGTGGTTTATTTTTAATATTCCATAATGGAGTAGAAAATAACTGTTTTACAGGCTCATCTACTTTATGAAAGGCACATTTAGCTTTGATTTTTGCCATTAGATCTCACACTATCATTTCAATATCCAGCTAACACAATCTAAAGTGATATTATTTTATACTAGAGTAGTCTTAAAACCTATGCATCTATCATTACAGAAACAGTAATCCTTTTTGTTTCTTATCTAGTGTATTTAATATTGATAGCACATGATCCAATATTTTATGATTTATTTCTTGCTTTCCTTGTTTTGTTTCCCAAACATGCTAGGTACATTTTAAATTTCTGTTATAAAGTTCACCCTTTTAGGCATGTCCCTTTGTCTCCTCTGCAGGTAGTCACATCCTAAGTAATCCTTCTAAAATATGATCACCTTTCTTTTATGCTGTAAACTCTCGCTTAATAAGCAGTCTGGAGTGGTGACTTGTTTCTCTACGTTCTTGTAGAACTTACTACTTGCCTTAGCCATATGTTTCCAGTTACTTTGTGTCTATTTATTTCTATTTTTTCCAACTAAATCCCGAGAAAATTCTTGGAGGCAGAGATTATTTGCTACATATTTTTATGTTCCTGGAGGTTTGCCTAAAGTCATGCATTTGTCTGTATTCTTGGTTGCAAGTTAAAGAAACAAAGCTCATATTAATTCAAGTAGGTTTGGCTGAATACCTATAACTAGATCAGGAACCCAAATTTGTCATCTTTTGATTATTATCTTCCCTTTTCTATTTATTACTTTTGCTTATTCCTCATCTTGCCTTCATTTTCATGTAGGGACTTCCTAAATAGTGCCCTACAGAAGAGGAAGGACTGCTTTCTCAGTAGCCCCGAAGTCCACAGTTGGTGTTCTCCAGCTTTACTGCTATTTCTGTGCTGTGTGCTTATAGACTAATCACAGTTGTCAGAAGGTTGATCCATGCTGGTTGAGTCACCCTTCCCACTGGTGGGCTCACTACCAATGTATGTATCAAGGCTGGAGAAGGAAGAACTAATTGTCCAAATAAAATAAATGAGCTCTTGTGCCATCCGTGTGGGAAATAAGCCCCAAATATCCAAAATAGAGATGCTCACCAAAGAGTTTATGAAATGCCTGCTGATTGATTACAATGTGGGAAGGTATTAGCCTCCTACATTCAAAACACTGAATGGGCAGGCTAGCACTTCCCAGTCACTGTTAGGGTGGGTGATAGTATGACTATTGAGTTCGGTTCCCCACTCATATGTTGCCAGTGTTAGAAGGCTGTTACTCTTGAGAGTGGATGATAAGTTTTCAGACATCTGAATAGGATTTCAAAGTTCTTTGTTGGAAGAGTGAACACAACAGCAATTATATCTCTCTTATGATTTGTGATGATGCTGCCCAGAGGATTTTATGGCGAAAGTAAGTAGTATCATTAACCAATTAAATCTCAAATCATGTATCACTACTTCAGATTTCTCCAGTGAGAGCTATGTTGACTCTAGAGGTTTTGCTCTCTCCCCTTTTTGTCATGGTGGGGATCACAAGTGGCTGAGGCTGCATACTAAGTTGGCAGTCAGAGTTTTTGACTACCTATTTTGTGCATGGAGAAATAATATGAAAGATACTTGAAAATATCTTAAGTCGTGTATTGAATAGCTTGACTGAGACTCAGCCAGTGATGATCTTAAAAATTATGAAAATGAACAAATAAATTAGAATTTTCATGTAGGAAGTGCTTGTAATACAGGCAAAATCAAGAAGCTATTCAGTAAATACTTAATTGTTGATAATGGGAAACCTCTTTCAAACAGGAATAAAGTTCATGTTGAATGTATGATTTTCATTGACATCCCTAACACTTTGTGGTCAGACTATGTGCTAGTGTTTTCATAAAAGCACATATACATTTCTATCATATAAATTTTGTTTAGTGTTAAATATGCCTTTGTCAGATAGTTAAATTCATTTTTTGTGGTAAAAGAAAAAATTACCTATATATGAAATAGTGTGTCATTTAAAAGTCAATGTTCTAAAGCTTCTGACAAAATGAACATTTTACTCAAAAATACTAGACAAACCAGGTTCACAGATGCTTGCCTGTGATCCTGAAATTTATGAGGTAGATGCTGTAGAATCAGGAGTTCAAGGCCATCCTTAGCTTTCTCAAACACTACAGAATTTAATCCAACCCCTAACCGTACTTCTTGGGAATATCTTAATTTGACCATTCATCTTTCTTTCCAGAACTGGAAGATAAGCAAAAACCTACAGCTGATACCTCTCCGAATACTACTTTGTTCCTACCGATGCTTTAGATGGCGTGGTCCTGATGTCTTTGGAATTGTTCAAGAGTAGAGCAGGTGAGACTCTCCTTTACAGGCCAGTTGTCTGCTCTGCACAAGGTCAGCTCATGCCCACTTCTAAGGCTGTTCTCTGTCTAGTCCCTTTCAGTTCATTAAGCAAAGGAAGATGAGTCACACAGTTATAAGCCTCACAACATAAGCACTGCAGTCTGCCTCTAGGATGGTTCTTTTTCTGGATGCTCCTTTCTTCCTGTTGACTTAAATTTTAAAATGGGAAAAATTAATCTGCATGGCACATGAATGGTGATCTTTCCCATTCCTTTATGAGTTCCACCTGCCTTTTCTAGAAAATTCTAAGAGAATTTAATGAAGAAGCATGTTTTGTTGATGATTATTTCACAGTTGAAAGAGAAGTACTTGTGAGAGCGAGGTATATATAGTGTATTTGCAGAATTTCATCTGACTCACTAATATCTGTTGGTAGGATTTACAATCTTCATTCATGTTAAAAATGAATAGAAGACTGGAAAGTCAAGGGTAGTGACTCCTAACACAATTACTGTCTACAGAGTTTTGTTTATTTTATTTTTAATTTTTTGGTCAATCAAGAGAAACTTATCTGTGTGAGGAAAATTGCTGAAATGAGAATTTGGTTAATTTCTTTGAGGAAAAAGAGAAAACTAGGAAAAGAAGTTATGAAAATATATGTTACATTTTTCCTAGATCAATGATTATTAAAATTTTCTTTTCACTCAATACCATCCAGAAAATTCTCCACTGACCCAAAAGCATGCGAGCATCACCAGGCAGTTTCTGTGACCATCACCTTCTAGGTGATTTGTCTGTGTGTTTTACTTTGAGAACCACAAATTAGTTGAGTTTGTAAGAAAGCTAATCATAGTTTTATGTTCAGACTCCCCTAAAAATAACATGGCTTCATGCTACTATTTGATGCCCCCCCCCCCTTGCTGGAAGGCAGCCTGGAGCCTCTTCTGCACTTGTCCGGCTGCCACCTAACTTGTAAGTTCAGCTCAGGACACACTCCTTTGTGTCAAGGTTACCTCTGGTATAATTGGCCAGTGAGATCTATGCAGTGTATCGAAGGCTCCCAGTTCCAAAGAACCAGTCCCAGTCCACTGAAACAAAGTTACTTCAAGGTTACATTTAAAAGGCTCCATTAAACAAGAATGTACCTTAACCAAAAATAAGCAACAGGGAACAACACAGGGCTCACTAAACACGAGTCAGCAAAGGCACACTATATAAACTTACTGGGAGAAAAATCACTCAGTAAATTGTATTTGATTAGGGAAGTACTTTTTACCCAGTTTACACTGTTTAAACATAGTTTGCTTATCATTTCAATCCTATGACTTCAGCTGTAATCTATGCCTCATCTTGGTCCTGCATAGAAAATTCTGTTTACACACACATCTACACTCTTGTTTATTCAACAGTGCTTCGGGTATTTTCTTGACGTTCAGAAGACATACAGGTGGATGTGGGTTCATTCTCCCCACCTTTGCCGCAGTGTTGAATTCATATGTGAAGGCCACCACAGCCTGATTTCTCCTCACCACTCCACAACATCTCTCTCTATCAGGTCATTGCCGACTTCCGGCTGATCCCCCTGCTTCTCTCAGAGGCTATTCCTCCCTGCAGATTTGGGCTCCACTAAGCACCTGCCTTGCTGGAGTTACAGCTTTAAGTTAATCCCTCTTCCCTACCTATTTAATTGAATTCTTTTCTGTGCCTTTCATTAAAAACCGGTGTTCTGTGAAATTCTTAACCAGGTCTAATTCTCTTCTCTCCAGGCACCTTTTGTTTAATGAATGAATCCACCCACTCCTACACATTCAATTACTTGCACTCACCACATCAGGACCATCAGTGACTGTCTTTTTCTTCACCTTTGACATGTGTCTCCAAGTCCTTTAATTTCAACATACCTAAAAAGAACAGAAGCTCTTCTATGCAGGCTGTCCTTTCCCTTGATTTATTCTTTTATTAAACAAATGCTTGCTGAGGGTTGCCATCTACTAGGCACCGTAGTTCTCAGTTCTGAATCTGTGAACGTGAACAAGACCAGCATGATCTTCTGTCTCATAGAGGCAAATGAGAAATAACTTGCAAATAATATGGTAAACAAAATAGGATTTGGAAGCTAGGAAATGATGTGAATATTATTTATGTGGAATATTTATCATCGATCTGGAAGGAGTGAAACAGAGAACCCTATAGATATAAGTAACAGTTGATCATATGGAACACTAAGAGCTCTGCCCACCATCTGCTGGAAAGCATCACATAACTGATCTCATTGTTCTGACGTCATAACTCTGATGTCGTGGTGCTGATACCCTGATATGCAGTGGTGCTGGATGCATAATCACTGTCAGCTGTCACCATGGGAACAACACTGGGGGAGGGTGCATCTGTGCCCTGCTCCATGGGCCACTAATTAAACCAGGGACGTCTTGCTCTACAAGGGCGTGATGCATATGAGGGTAAAGTTACTTCCTGACAGTTGTAACACATCTGAAATGCTGCTGGGATTTGAAACACTGCAAAAATGTTTTTATTTTCTAAGTTACGGCCAGCCTTTATCTAAAGTTGAAGTAACTGGAACATTAAAGCTTTGCAAGTTATCTAGATTCTTTTTTGCCTTTGTGTCTCTCATGGATGATCTCTAGGATTCCACTTTCACTCATTTTTGCCTCAGAAGGAGAATAAAAACGAGAATGAAGTCTCTTCTATTGCTTTTTATAAAGTCTGATCACCCATGTTTTGGGAAAGTAGCTTCAAACAGAAGTCTATTGTTGAATAATTAATAAATTGTGTCCATTTTTCTAGTGACTAGATGTAATTCAGTACCACCTCTGGTTCTTATTTTGCATATACATAACCTGACATGAATTTTCTCTATTTAACTAGTCAATTCTTTCCTTTCCATCTTTTTGCTTTCCTGTACTATCCCTATTTCTTCTTCCCTTCCTCGCTCCTTCCCTCCTTCCATCTTTCCTTCGAGACAGTGTCTCACTATGTAGTATGGGTTGATTTCATGTAAATTCAAGATCCTAGACCAACGAGATAGCCTAGTGAGTGGAGTTGCCTACAGCCAAGCCCCATAATATGAGTTTGACCTCAACATGCTCATTGTAGCATGTATGCATAGAAGCAAGCAAGCAAGCAAACAAACAAACAAATCTAACTCAAAAGACTCCTGCCTTAGCATCCTTAGGACTGAAAGTACAGATGTGGTGATCAAATTACTGGTTATGTTCAATGTTTCTAACATGCTTACAAAATAGTATAAGATGATTCAGGGGTCAAAGACACAATTAGTTTTATGAAAGTATTATTATTTTTTTTTGTGCTCAAAGCAATATGTCATTAAGCTGTTTGGAAACTTCTATGTTGTAACAATATCATGGAGATTTTATTTTAAAATAAGGAAGTTTTAGTGAAGATAGTTTTTATATCACTTGATAAAGCTTCTAAAAGCCATAAAATAATATTTTAAAATATTCTTGGTATGTCTTTTTAAAATACCTCTTTGTATAGCTCTTGTCTAGGTTATTTTTTCTGTGAGAAAAATAAATGACCAGAAGTTATTTGGTCTTGCTAAATAACTGCTTGTTTCTTGGCTCAGAGAAAGTTCCAGGCACAACTGGAACATTGGGAGTCATCTCAGGCCACAGGACTCTCAGTTTGGAAGGCCCACTTTCAAAAAACAACATTGGGGGCTGGAGAAATGGCCAGTTTAGAGGTTAAAATCACTGACTACTCTTCCAGGACCTGGGTTTAATTCCCAGCACCCACATGGTAGCTTACAACTCTAACTCCAGTTCCAGGAAATCTGATACCCTTACACAGGCATAATGCAGGCAAAACACCAACACACACACACACACACACACACACACACACACACACACACACACACACACGTTTTTGAAAAAAACAGACAAACCTTGAGGCTCCCTGCCACAGAGGGACTGTTGAAGGACCACTGAGGGATCAGGACACATTGACAGGTAGCGCTTAGAGGAGGGGCAGGGATTCCTGAGCATCACTGTAGACTCAGGGTGAAGGGCAGGAGAAGCCAGAACCAGCACAGACCTGCTTCACAAGGATATTTTAAGGGACATTTCTCATATTCCTATGAGTTGGTAAATGTTTAGGGAGAGGAAGAAAGCAAATACATTTGGGAGTGGTGAAATTGGATTGTAGCCATCTTTCTTCTAGTGAAGTTAGACAGAGGTTTCTTCAGTTCATTGTAATTATAATAAAAGCCTATGAATTCTTGGTAACATAACCAAAGAAATTAGCAGTTGCATGTGACTTGTTTTATCATTGTATATTGAAGACAAAAATGCATTATATTAAAACTGTTCAGTTAAAATGCATCTATCAAGTAATCCTGGCTTTAGGAAGAAGGTAATTTAAAGGGACATCCTCTTCTGATGTGTTGCTATTTCATGCCAACAGTTCTACCTACAAGAGATATATATTAACACCTCCCATAGGGAAGATGTTACCTTAACTTGCATGTGGATGGGGCCTCAGAGAGCTGCTGACTGCTTGGGAGGTGCTTTGCACTAAGTCAGAAAAGCTCTTCTCTGTTCAAAATCAAGAACCTCACTCTCTCTCTTGGCTAGCATGTGACAACCATACGCGTTGTTTTGGGTTATAATATGCCTTGCCTGGATCGATGTCAGTTCTTCAGACAGCTTCCCCACATTCCTCAGCAAGCCCATCCAGCCACCTTATTAAAACCATAGGTCTCACCTGCAAACACCAAAGTCCTTGCTTTCTGTTTCCTGTTCCTTTTCACCTTCAACATCACGCTGTAATTGCCAGTCCAAGCATCATAGCTTAATTGAAACTATTTATGTGTTTGTACACATATGCTCATGTGTAGTATATGGAATTTAGGTAAATTAGAAATAATGTAAACCCTTATGGCTTTTCAAGCATGCTTACTGTTAATGATGCTAACATTTTCTTACAAATATGCAATGCCAATCTTGGTCATATCTATCCCACAACCTCCA